AAATAAAAATCGGAAAGGTTAAAGAACTGCAAAGTTCCCAGGGATCCCACCGGTGCAGCTATGAGGTCTGGGGAAGTCACTCTCAGGTGTTGCAGTACAGCCTGGCTAGAAGGCATAGAGGTATACAATGCCAGGTATTCAGAGAACAGAAAGAGAAGGAAGATATAGAGAGACGAGAAAGCAAGTAATGAAGAAAGACAAAAAGGGAAAAAGAGGGAAAAGAAAACAAAACAAATTTAAAAAAAAGAAGAAGAAAAGCCCCCAAAAAAAACAGAAAAAAAAAAAAAAACGAAAAAAGAAATGCCCTTAGGAATCCCTCTGCACATCTGTGCAAGCCGAGGGGGTGGTCTCCTTGCCACGCAGCACCGCCTCGCCAGAAAGGACTCCCAACTCAAGAAAAGGAAAAGAAAACAAACAAACAATTCAAAACAAACAAACAAACAAAAGCCCTGGGATCCCACCAGCGCTGCAGCCCAGACCAGGAAGCAGTTCCACACTAGAACAGAGCTCCACCGCCCCTCAGGAAGAAGGAAAGATGGCGCATGGAGCCACGCATTTGAGCGAAAGGAGGGGGAGGTGGTGAGAGGTAAGGAAGAAATCAAAAGAAGCAGAAAAAAAAGCAACACCAGCAGTCAGCAAATGGCACTCAGAGAGCCAGCTAGTGCGGGCTGGTGGAATCCAAGCAGCCGGTGTTTCTAGGACAAGAGACTGTGTCTGCGGGAAGCATAGGGGGCCGAGTGTGGGTGAAGAAGGTTGGGAGTGGGAAAGCGTATATCACAAATTACTGGAGCTCTGCAGCCCCTCCGGAAGAAGCAAAGATGGCACATGGAGCCAGGTATTTGAGCGAAAGGAGTTGAAGGTGGTGTGAGGTAAGGAAGAAATCAAAAGAAGCAGAAAAAAGCAACACCAGCAGCCAACAAATGGCACTCAGAGAGCCGGCCCATTCGGGTGTATGGAATCCAGGAAGCCGGTGTTTCCCGGACAAGAGATTGTAGCCATGGGAAGCAGAGGAGACCGAGTGGGGGTGAAGAAGGGTGGGGGGTGGGAAAGTATATATCGCAAATTACCGGTTGTTTTGTCTCCCGCTGGACGCTCCGTGAAGCTGCTTTCTCGTACCCCGTTTGCTGGTCTCTGATAGGAGTCCAAGATGGTGGATCTGCGCTGCGTTAGCTGCTAGGGGACCTCTGCATGAATCTCTCCTCGCTCTCCGTTTTCTGTCAGTTTTCTCACTCCATTTGGTGCTTGGCTGAGTTCTTTATCTCTTCATTTGATGTTTCAGGGTTTCAGGATTGTTGTTTTCTCTGTTCGGCTTAGTTTTTCGGATCTTTGCTGTGAAGGGACAGCGTGGTGCTTCTGCCTAGAGCACCATTTTGCCAGAAGTCCCCAATTTTACTTTTTTAAAAAAAAATCAATGACACCATCTCATCTCTAGGAAGCACTTTAGTCAGCCTCAACTCACTGATCAGCATTGTTATGGATGACATTAATTGCCTAAAACTTCCTCCTTGCAGGCCAAGACAGAATCTATGCAACTACTAATACATTCTGTTACATCTGGATTAATGCCTCAGGCTATGTGTAAAGCTCAATACAGAAACTGAAGGAGAAAGCCACTTAACTTTCTAAAATAGACCCTGATGACTAAGGAATTTGTTTAGCTGGCTGGGTCCAGGACATCTGAGAGCATGACAGGTCAATACTGCAGGGTGGACTCATCCTGTTGCTTAGAGTATCGTCGATATTAGCCTTAGTTAAATACTTTTTGAAACAAATTGAGTGGGTTTGGTCCAAGCCTATGTTGATTAGATTACTGAGTGGCCAGCAAAGTTGTGCAGTCATGGAAAAATCCATCATTATAGCTCTTGAAACCAATCAGCATCATATTTTTGGCTTTTAGGACTATTTGCAATCTGTCAATTGTGCACCCTTTATCTCAAAATCTACTCAGCAAGATCTCTGCACATCTTAACATTTGTTTACTATTTGACCCCTGTGCTTTATGTTCTTTTTTTTCCTTTCTTGTTTTTGATCAATCAGATTTTTTATATTAATATACTCGTTTATTATTCTTTTGCTGGTTACCCTAAAATTTACAATATGCATTCTTATTTTTACAGCCTAAAACAAACGATTACTTTTACCACTTTCATATTAACACTAGAACCTTAAAATATTTCATTCATTTGCAACCTCTTTTGTAGAGCCAATTTTCAATATCTAGTAACAATGAAGATGTACACAATACAATTCCCCTTCAATGTCTAAACCTAGATCAACTTACAAATGTGCACAGGAGACATGAACAAGCCTATTCATTATTGCATTGTTTGGAAAAGTGAAAAAAAAGAAGGCAAATTCACTTTCATTAACAGGCCAGTGGCTAGATTAGGATAAATTAATAAGATCATGGATAAACAGTGGTATATTTATAAAATAGAATTCCACAGCACAGTTAAAACGCATTAAGTAGATATAGATCAACATGAATTTGAACAGTATAATTTCTGATAAAAAAAAGTAGCAGAAGAGTATTACAAAATGAAACAAGAATTTTAGAACTATGGATATACACATAACCAGAAAAGACATATAAACATGTATGGGAAAGATGGTCTAACTTCAGAAGAATGATTACCTTCCCGGAAGGAGGAAGGAAAATAAACAGTACTAGGGAGGGAGGTTCACAAATCCTTACAAAGCACTATGTGTTAAAAAAAATATTAATACAACAATGGTAAAATGCTCATATTTTCATAGTTGAGCAAAAGGTATTTAGGTATCTGTTTATAATACTTGTACTTTCTGTTTATTTGAAATATTTCATAAATATGTATGTGAAAATTGTATACAAAATTTTTAAAATGAACACAATGAGTAGTAAAGTCTACCTGCAAGTGTAGTTGCCACTGTGGGTGTTAATTCATACTGATTTTCAATATATTTAGGCAAAAATTCAGAAACTCCAATAATAAGTAAATACTCGGTAGCTCTGGACAGAGCCAGGCACACAAACACTTGATTCTTCATCAGAATCTGAAATAGAAATAAGTTATATATCAATTATTTTATTAGGTTAATAGCAATAGATACACACAAATGTATGCTAATGATCAATCCACAAAAATTTTACTTTTTGCAATCTAAAGCAAAAATATTAAAAACAATAGAAATCCAAACAGAAATCTTAAAATTCACCAATAACTTATACTATAAAAGTCATATACCCAAAAATCAAACTGACTGCCGTCTAGTTGATTCCGACTCATAACGACCTGATAGGGTTTCCAAGGCCATAAATCTCTACAGAAGTTGACTGCCACATCTTTCTCCCAAGAAGCTGCTAGTGGTTTTGAACCGCCTACCTTTTGGTTAGCAGTCGATCACTTTTAACCACTCCACCACAAAGGTTCCTGAAAGTCATGTAGTGTTTAAAATGTTTTTTCCTGTTTTGATTGCTTGTTTTTGTTTTGTTTTTTGGGTTTTTTTCCCCATAATTTGCTCTCCATAACACCTATAATTTTAATTTGTGGGTCTGACAGTTTATTGGAAAGAGTCACAAAAAGTAGACAGGTCATTAACCAGGTATCTAGAACTTTCCTTTACTTTTGTTTACTTATTTATTAATCTTCTTAGCAAGTCTTTTTTTAAAAAATAAATGACAAAGGAAATTTAAGCAACACTACGGAAAATCATGATGACTGCAATGACTGCAATTAATAAGATACGATTATATTTTACTCCTGAAATTCCACCTAAATAAAAAGTGAAGTTATGTAATACTGTATTCTAGTAACTTTGTTGAACTTATTCAGAAGTCTTACTAGGATGTACAGGGATGGTTTACTATTATCTATTATACTATTCGGAGTAACTAACATGATAGTCCATCACTGGTCTTTCAATTTGTTGTACTGTAGTGGCTTGTGTGTTGCTATGATGCTGGAAGCTATGCCAATGACATTTCAAATACCAGCAGGGTCACCCATGGTGGAAGGGTTTCAGCAGAGCTTCCTAAGATAGAATAGGAAGAAGGACCTGACGATCTACCTTTTAAAAAATTAGCTGGTGAAAACCTTATGAATAGCAGCAGAACATTGTCTGATATAGTGCTGGAAGATGAGCACCTCAGGTTGGAAGCCACTCAAAATACGACTGGGGAAGAGCTGCCTCCTCAAAGTAGAATCGACCTTAATGACATGGTTGGAGTAATGATTTCAGGACCTTCATTTGCTGATACGGAACTACTCAAGATGTGAAGAAACAGCTGCAAACATTCATTAATAATCGGAACGTAGAATGTGCAAAGTATAAATCTAGGAGAATTTGAAGTTGTCAGAAATGATATGGAATGCTAAAAGATAATGAGCTGAAACGGACTGGTATTGACCATTTTGAATTGGACAATCATATGGTCTATTATGTAGGGAATGACAAATTGAAGAGGAATGGCGTTGAAGTCATTGTCAAAAAGAATATTTCAGGATATATCCAGAAGTACAATGCTGCTGTCAGTGATAGAATAATATCCATATGCCTACAAGAAAGACAAGTTAATACAAATATTATTCAAATTTACATACTACTCATTAAGGCCAAAGATGAAATTGAAGATTTTTACCAACTTCTGGAGTCTGAAATTGATCAAACATGCAATCAAGATGCAGTGATTGGAATGCAAAAATTGGAGAAAAAGAAGAGTTAGTAGTTGGAAAATATGACCTCACTGAAAGAAACAAAACCAGAGACTGAATGACAGAATTTTGCAAGAGCAATTACCTATTCACTGGAAATACCTTTTGTCAACAACATAAATGGTGACTGTCTTAGGCTGGGTTCGCTAGAGAAGCAAAACCAGTAAAGTGTATAAATATGTATATAGAGAGAGATTATATCAAGGAAATAGCTCACGTGATTGTAGAGGCTAGAACGTCCCAAGTCCGTGGATCAGGGTAGAGGCCTCTCCCAAGTCACACAGCTGCAGAAGCTGGCAAGCCCAAGATCGGAAGGTTGGAGAGCAGGGCTCCCACTCACTGGCTGTGCGGATCGACGAATCCCAGGTTCGGCAGATAAGCTGACAGCTCAAATCCCAAGAACGGGAGATGAGATGACAGGAAGCAGCCGCAGGATCCAGGGAGAGCAAAAAGCCAGAACATCTGCTTATATACAAATGCGGGCCATACCCCCAAGGAGACTCCCTTTCATCTGATTGGCTACTCACAGTATATCCAATCATGGGAGCGATTACATTAAAACACAGAGAATCATGGCCCAGCCAAGTTGACACACAATCTTAATCATCACAGTGACTATTAATTCGGACCTCGCTAGGTGGAATACACAGAAATCAAACTGACTACATTTGTGGAAAAAGACAGTGGAGAAGCTCAATATCATCAGTCAGAACAAGGCCAGGGGCTGACTGCAGAACAAACCATTAATTCCTCATACGCAAATACAAGTTGAAGCTGAAGAAAATTAAAACAAGTCCATGAGAGTAAAAGTACAACTTTGAGTATATCCCACCAGACGCATTGAACACTAATGACAGAAGACCAGATAAGTTGTGGGATGACATCAAGGACATCATATACGAAGAAAGCAAAAAGTCATTGAAAAGACAGGAAAGAAGGAAAAGACAAAAATGGATGTCAGAAGAGACTGAAACTTGCTGTTGAACGTAGAGTAGCTAAAGCAAACAGAAGAAATGATGAAGTAAAAGAACTGAAAAGAAAGATTTCACAGGACAGCTCAAGAAGACAAAGTAGAATATTACAATGAAATGTGCAAAGACCTAGAGTTACAAAACCAAAAGGAAAGAACACTCTTGGCATTTCACTCATGCTGAAAGAACTGAAGAAAAAATTCAGGTCTCAAGTTGCAATATTAAAGGATACTACGAGCAAGATATTGAACAACACAGGAAGCATCAAGGAAGTCAGAAGTAATACGCAGTCACTGTACCAAAAACAACTAGTCTACATTCAACCATTTTAGGAGGTAGCATATGATCAAAAACGGATGGTATTGAAGGAAGAAGTCCAAGCTGTACTGAAGGCATTGGCAAAATTCAAGGCTCCAGAAATTGAGGGACTACCAATTGAGATGTTTCAACAAAGAGATGCAACGCTGGAAGTGTTCACTTGTCTATGCCAAAAACTTTGGAAGACAGCTCCCTGGCCAATCATCTGGAAGGGAGCCATATTTTTGGCCATTCCAAAGGGAGATGATCCAACAGAATGGGGAAATTATAGAACAATATCATTAATAAAACATACAAATAAAATTTTGCTGAAGATAGCTGAAAACAGTTGCAGCAGTACATTGACAGAAAACTGCCAGAAATTCAAGCAGGATTCAGAAAAGGATGTGGAATGAGGGATATCATTGCTGATGTCAGATGGATTTTGGCTGAAAGTAGATTATACAGAAAGATGTTTACTTGTGTTTTATTTACTATGTAAAGGTATTGAATGTAGAGTAGCTAAAACGAACAGAAGAAATAATGAAGTAAAAGAACTGAAAAGAAAGATTTTACAGGGAAGTTCAAGAAGACAAAGTAGAGTATTAAGATGAAATGTGCAAAGAACTAGAGTTACAAAACACAAATTATGGATCACAACAAATTATAGATAACACTGGGAAAATGGGAATTCTAGAGCATTTAATTGTGCCTGTGTGGAACCTGTATATAGACCAAGGGGCAGTCATTTGAGCAGAACAAGGAAATACATTGTGGTTTCAAATCAGGAAAGGCGTACATCAGGATTGTATCCTTTCACCATACTTATTCAATGTACATGCTGAGCAAATAACCTGAGAAGCTGGACTATATGAAGAAAAATGGGGTGTCAGGGTTGGAGGAAAACTCATTAACAACCTGCAATATGCAGATGACACAACCATGCTTGCTGGAAGTTAAGAGGACTTGAAGCACTTACTGATGAAGATCAGAGATACAGTTTTCAGTATGGATTACACCTCAACATAAAGAAAACAAAAATCCTCACAGCCGGACCAATAAGCAACATCATGATAAAAAGAGAAAAGATTGAAGTTGTCAAGTATTTCATTTTACTCCGACCCACAATCAACACTCTGGAAGCAGCAGTCAAGAAATCAAAAGACACATTGCATTGGGCAAATCTGCTGCAAAAGACCTCTTTAAAGTGTTAAAAAGCAAAGCTATCACTTTGAGGACTAAGGTGTGCCTGACCCAAGCCATGGTATTTTCAATCACCTGATATGCATGCAAAAGCTGGACAATGAATAAGGAAGACTGAAGAAGAATTGATGTCTTTGAATTATGGTGTTGGTGAAGAATATTGAATATACCATGGACTGCCAGAAGAATGAAAATATCTGTCTTGGAAGAAGTATAGCCAGAGTACTCTTTAGAAGCAAGATGGTGAGACTATGTCCCACATAATTTGGACATGTTGTCATGAGGGATCAGTCCCTGGATAAGGACATCATGCTTGGTAAAGTAGAGGGTAAGCAAAAAAGAGGAAGACCCTCAATGAGATGGACTGACACAGTGGCTCTAACAATGGGCTCAAACATAGCAGTGATTGTGAGGATGGCGCAGGACTGGGCAGTGTTTCATTCTGTTGTACATACAGTTTCTATGAGTTGGAAGTAACTGAAGGGCACCTACAAACAACATGATAGTAACTTACATTAAAATATTAACTTTCAATCTAATTCCTGTATTTTCTTCAAGATGCATACATCTTTGAAAGTATTTAGTGTTGTTTTCTGTTTATATATTTTTTTATTTTATTTTTTTTGTTTTTTGTTTATATATTTCTAATTGCTTAAATTTTCTTTTTCTAGCTCTAAACACTACTTTTTAGATCTAATTATATTCTGCATATTCATATAATTTGGCTTTTGAGTGGGACCTAATTTTGCATAGTGTGATTCTCACGTATTTATCCATCCCCATAGGGAATTTAACAACAGAAAACTTGTTTCTATACCAAGACACCAAAATATTTTGGAAGTGAAGAAAAAGTTTGGAGTTGATCCTTATA